CGGATTTTCATATTTTCGTTCGGGGGGGTGGATAAATATCTGGGGGGGGTGCTGCTGCTTGCTTTGGCCGGGGCGTGGTGGCAACACCGGGAAAGGCCAAGGAAAAAGTTTAACAAAATTTGTTTTCTAGGCCTGCATGGCAAGATCTGAGACCATAATATTAGTAATTTTACAAATTTAGTAGTAAGAATAATCAAATATGAAACTATCAAATCAAAATATATATAATTTGCGGGGGTGCAAAAACTTTGGGGGGTGATGCCAAATGCCTCTGGGGGGTGCAAATCATTTCTGGGGGGGGTGCACCCCCCCCCCCAGAAAATCCGGGCCTGGGTTGTATCCCTATCAATGTGAAGCTTTCTTAAGTAAGTTATATACAAAGCATGGACGTTTCCTTTGTGTGATTATATGATGAAGAAGGTCCAACGTGATACCATTGCTTGCTTGCCACAACCACAGTCTGTAAAGATATGATGTTCTGGAAGCCCGGCAAACTTCCAAACCAAAAATTGAAGAGCTTGTTTGATGTTGAACTGTACTTCACCGTGCACAAATCCTTTGTCTCAACTTCATTCAATATTATGTTTGTGATGTTACTCTGAGCATGGATTGTAAAATAACTATTCCAAAATTCTATTTTATTATCCATGCTCTGAGTGTATATCCACACCGGGCAAAGCTTGAAAAGTATGCCTGACCACGTGGGAATCAAACCTATGACCTTTGGAATACCAGCCCATGGGTATACCAGAATGGGCTGGTATTCCAAAGGTCGTAGGTTCGATTCCCACCGTGGCCGGGCATAGTTTTCAAGCTTGCCCGGTGTGGATATACACACAGAGTAACATCACAAACATCATATTCACCTGAGTACATAACATCAACACAGAAAAAAATTCGACGTGTCTTTTCAGTCGACTCCGTGACTGAAAAGACCAAGCCCGTGGAAACTACGAGTTTGAAAACACCGAGCCTGAAAAAACGAACCCTCTGAAGGCACCAAGCGTGAAAACACCAAGTCTCTGAAAACGACAATTTTATTAGCACCATCAGTACGACAAAATATGCACCGCATTAATAAATTCACCATATGGTACAGGTTGTCTAAATTGGTCGTATCTTACATTTCGTTAGAGGTTGAAAGAAGGCGTGTATATGATATAGTCAATGTTCTTGAAAGTGTCGAAGTGTTGAGTCGTTTGGCCAAGAATAGATATGTCTGGCACGGCAAATCCAGGATCGTACAAACACTTGGGAAATTGAAGGTTGGTCTTCCACATGAGCTCCACGAGAAATCATATTGACATAGCTACAAATACTTTTACATTTTGACAACACCAAGGGCCGGTTGTTCAAAGGTGGGTTAGCGCTAACCCTGGGTTAAAATTTAACCTGCTGTTTTAGTTTGTGTATTTCTGCACGTCTGTTTATTTCAAAACTTCAGAGAAGTAAACTCTTATCGATCCAGACAAGATCTCTGAAGAAATATTTCCAAATTTATAGACAAGGCTGTCAGGAAATTTGCTTTGAATTTTAGGTTAACCATTAACCTAGGGTTAAGCTAACCTAGCTTTGAACAACCAGCCCCTGAGGAATGTATAGTCGTATTCAAAACAACATGCACTTTTTCAGGCGCTTTCTAGAAACAGCATTTATAAAACACACCAGAAAGAAGAGAAGGAAAATTTCCCAAACACACCAAGCTCTGGAAAACAAAAGGTACGTGCCAAAGTAGTTGACATACTACTATTGCTATCTTCTTGACATGACTTCGCTCTGGGATTTTCTTCATAATTTGAAATTCTATATGTAGATGAAAAGATACTCTAGCTGCGGCGATTTGCCAAAACCCAACGCGCAGTTGAAGGACAGAATTCTAACGAAGGAAGAGGAACGAATGATGATCAAAGGTACTGCGTGTTGAACAAGGGAGACAATCGATAATTCATTGATCATTTAGGGCGTGGTCATTGTTTATGGTTGGGGGGGGAGGCACCGAAAAGAAAAGGGTTGGGTAAACAAAATTTTGAGTGAGTAAAAGGTTGGGTAAATGAAAAACAAAACAACTCAAGGGTTGGGTGATAAAAATTTATTGTCATTTCCAAAGCATGACTCGCTCAAATATTGAAGACTAAAAAGCAATGTCGACAGTCATATGTTAATACAGTAAATCGATCAGAGTCACTATCTTGATCATTTTTCGATTTGTCAGGAGGCAAATGGTGTCTCGATCCAAAGAAAGTACATGTGCAGACAACATGAAACTTTAGACTGCAGAAAATTGCACAAGCAGTTATCAAACTCGTGTCACAGAAGTGGTAAAGAACATGTGTGACAACTGAATGGTATCTTTTTGACGAGCTGTCTCGCCCCATATAAAAACAGTCCCTCCCTAACTTTAGTGACAAAATCAGCCGATATTAGACCTATATGT